TAGACCCTTCCTGTTGTGGGTTGTTTATTTCTGTTACCGTCCCTTTATCATTTTCAAAAAGAACACCATTTTCATTCGGTTTTACTTTTTCATTTATTTTTAGCAGCCCTGGATTTACTTCAGGTTGAGGGTCTGCTTCTAAAAATAAATTGATACATTTTTTTCCCGAATTTGTCATAAAATTCAATTGGGTTCGGGTTCCCATTTTTCAAACATAAAACAATATTAAATATTTTTAGGAAGTCACGCCCGAGCACCAAGGTACACGGGGCACTATCAGGGAAAACAATAAAATTCATTTTTCTTTTAACACCTCCGAACTCTAAAAATGCCGGAAGATGTCCGCATACTTTCAGCTTTCTACCGTCCAGACCCTTATATTTAGAAACTCTCTTTTTCTTCATCTTGAGTTGTGGGGACACCGACCGGATCACTGATTGGTTAACAAAACTACATGGGCTACCCGTGTCAAGTAAGGAAGAAATAAGATGATCATTAGACCCCGTGTTACTGGGACACAAAGCTACTCTTACCCGTATGTTCCAATCTACTTCCTCCTCGTCTGGGATTACCGCTACCGTCCATAGTGATTGATCTTCATGTGACCCTTTCTTCCGCAAATGAAACACGCTATTGGCCGCTGTCCCTCTGTGCAAGTTGTTGAATAATGCCCACACTTCGAGCATCGGAAACACTTGACTGCTGGCGGTGTCTGCTTCGCCACATCACTTTTCGGCTGATATTGTTTTCGGTCCGCCACCATTTTCTCATATTTTGGTATCAGCTCTTTAAATTCGGCTACCGTGACCACCTTGAAGGATATGGAAGCTGCCACTGATTTGTCCAGCATACCATCCACTATGTACTCCACTATTTCTTTCTGCGAGAGTGGAGTGTCTTCCGCTAGTTCTTGCATTTCTAGGACATACCGGTGTAGGCTTTCATTTTGTTTGTCCCACTTTCTAGCGCCCAACTTTCTTAGGGCTTCCTTCGCCCCAACTACTCTGCCAAACTCATTCACTAATTCTTTTTTCAGGCCCTCCCAGGAATTTGACTTTGTGCTGCGTAAAAACAGGGCCGCGCTACCTTTTAACATACGCCGTGCATAAATGAATTGTTCTGTTTTGGAGCACTTCATTACGTTGGTTATGTTGTCAAATTCCTGTATCCACTTTGTTATTATTAATTGGTTGTCCCCTGAAAATTTTGGCAACGCACCTTCCACATCAGAAAATGTGGCAACCTCTTTCTTGTTTCCAACTTTTCTTCCAGCATTATCTTGTCTTGTTCGCCAGCATGCTCTGGATTGCTCGTTATTTCGTTTCGTTTACTTGCATGCCCTTCTTTGTCTGTTACCACCCCAACTACTTGTCCGTTTGCATGCCCTTGTTGATTGATTCCTCCCAGCTTCAGCTGGGCCATTAAATCTTCACGCACCGTTTCTTTTCATTTTTAATTTGCTGTTTTTTTATTTTTTTTTTTTCAGTTTCACAACAATCACTAATTTTTGTTGTTTTATTTCCTCAGTTTTTTTTTATTTTTTAATATTTTTAGTTTAATATTTTAATCTAATTAGAAGATTTCACTGTTCGTTAATTTGCTCGAATTTCACAATGGTTGGCGTTGTTTTTTAATTTACACCCAGAGAAAAAATGACAACATCCGTGTATGAAATGACCACATCCGTGTATGATAGTGTATCAACCACGTTTGGTGTCAAAATGAGCACGCTGTTGTCATTTTGACACCGAGATTTTGGCAACGATTTCAACAACAGATGTGCATGAAATGAGCACATACGTGGTCATTTCGAGCACGCCCCGTTGTCAGATTGTCAACGCTTCGTTGTCAGATCGTCAACGCTTCGTTGTCAGATTGTCAACGCTCCGTTGTCGGATTGTCAACGCCCGTTGTCAGATTGAAATCAATGGTGGTCATTTTTTGATATCCGTTCCTTTTCCATTTTATACCCTTAGTAGAAGAAACGACATTTTTTGAAAAGTATTTTATTGAACGAAACCAATTACATAAATTCAATATAAATACATATTTGATTTAACAAAACAATTCGAATTACATATATTCAATGTATAGAAACAAATTAAATTAACTTAAATCTGAAATAAACTTTTCCATTATTCATAGGATATAAGTGAAATGGGTAAGTAATAAAATCTAAAATTGGTATTAAAAAAATTGTATCCTCATTCAGAGAACCAACTTCATACGATTGTAAATGGTAATCAAAGTTTTTAACTTTTACTTGGTTACATAAAATGTAAACATTTTCATTTTCAATTATTAAATGTTTAATTTTGAAAAGTTCAATTGCGGCATTATTTGTTGCTAAATAATAGTTTTTTTTATACCTAGTTCCCTTAAAAAAAATGTCATCAGACACTTTGCAATTTTGGTAATTTAAAACTGGCTTACTTTTTTTGTAACAATATTCCTCTTTTGCCAAATCTTCGATGGTATGCGTATTAATGATAACATTTGGTTCTAAGTTATCTTCGTGTTTTAATAAAAAATTGGAAAATTTCAATCCAGACTTAATAGATAATGAACGACAGGGATTTACTCTTGATGTAGTATTTCCTAAATAGGCTTTTGCTTCCTTGTGTTTAGCTTCGAATCTCATGCTCCAGAGATATTTAAGGGGACCACATTTTCGGATAGCTGTGGGATAGTGGACAAGAAAGTGGTGTTTCGGTTTTAACGAACCGTATAATGTTATATAAAGTGAATGGTGATCTCTAATTAATTCTTCCAATTTTATTAAATCGTCTTCTATATAACTTGGTCTTAAAAGTAAATCGATTATTTGTAATAATATTATAAAAACTTTCCAGTGATCGTTGGAGAAAGGAATTAAATCGCCTACCATTAAAGGTAAAAAATTAGTAAAACACATAGTTTCACTAGCTGTCATTTTTAAGTTATAGTTTTTCAATCTACATAAATCTAGTGGTCCAGATTTATTTCCCACTTCAATTTCTCCAAATTGGAATAAAGATTTTCTGCTGTTAATACAATCTAACGTAACAATATTTTCTTGAATCAGCCCGAGAATTACATTAGACATATCGTAGACACATATGCCCTCGAAAATGTCATGCATAATATCAAAACAAAAATTTTCAGTGACGTTAAAATTTGGTAAAGATTCGAAGATACACTTGTTTTTAATACCTGTTTCTTGAAAATTATTTTCCAATACATTTGAGTTGTAATTCTCTTGGTTTCTTAAACTATCTAAATGCTGAATTGCGTCGAATTGCATTTGGGACTTTTTTCTTCTACATACCCGGCAAAATCTTTTAGAGTTAAATGATTGCACGTAGCCTAAAATACTATTAACTGCTAAATTATCTCCAATAATTACACCTAAAATAAAATGCACCTTCTGAACACTTTGTTGAACACAAATTTCAACCCCTTCTTCTAGAATTTTTAACTCTTCTACAAGATTGTGAAATGAAACTTCATTTCCACGTTCTTTTAAATCCTTTGATGGTATAAACGCAGCAGTTAATATATAATCAAGTTTTGACAACAAGTGCTGTGGCATTGAAGGAAAGCTAATATAACAACCACATATGGAAAATGTATGGGTTCCAAGAGGATTATTAATTTGAAAATCATCCATGTAAAGGACATAGGGAATAACTAAATTGTACTGATATTTTAATAATTTAGTTTTATATAACTCACCGTTTGTAAAATTTTGTAAAACAGGTGAATTTAGGAATTTTTTGGAGTTTTCTAATGTCAAATCTAAGAGATTTGGAATTTTAAAAAGGGCACTTATCATGAATTTCAGTGGCATTATATAAATATTGGATAACTTTGGACCTAAACTGGGATTTCCGCTGATAACAATTTCCGAGACTTGATTGCTAATTACATAAACCTTTGGATCATCATAAAAGTTTAGTTCTTTTAAAATTTTTAAAAGTCTATATTCCGTTCTAGTTTCTTCGAAAGGATTTTTACAAAAGTTTAGTAAGTACCTTAAGTCTTCATAATTTGGATGATCAGTTATATATTTTTCAATTGTACATGAAATGGATGAAAGCAGAATTGAAACAGAATGTTGTATTTCTATAACATGATTTCTAGGCATATAGCTTTGACCATGTAATTGTAAAGACAGATATAAGGTTTTCTTTTTCAAAACATTTAAATCCTTTTCTATTGTATTGTTGTTAATAACAGTTTCACTGTTTGTATAATCATTTTCTTTTGATGATGACATTTCAACTGGCACATTAATGGCTTTAACCATTGGTGGAGCTTTTGTGTGATTCTTGTGAAGTTTTTCTAAATGAATTCTGAATGACGTAAATTTTGTAAATGTTTGCTTACAGTTGTCCTGAACGCATTGTACTTTTAAAAATTTAGTGGACATTAAATGGTCTGTTTTCAAATGAGCTATTAAAAGATTTGCCTTATCAAAATGCTTACGGCAACGAAAGCAAATATACATTTTGAATTGTACTTTAATTATTGTTGCAGAAATTAATAAGTGAAGTCAAATTAACTGATTTTATATCATATACAGTATTAATTTCATAAAAATATTTTTGGATAAAAATCCATGGAATTTGGCAGGCATTTGGATATTTTAAAGAAAGTGCATGAAAAATTTTAAAACATGTATCTAAACATTCGAGGAACGATTGAAATTTTAACAAATTGTGGTTAAAAAAAACATAAAAACCTTTTATATTGAAATCGGACAAACCCTCCACAATTATAAATGGCTGTATAGTTAATCCAGCATTGTAATACTTTTCAGTGACTGTATCAATTTGCCTTTTATAATCGTTAATTGTCGGTAGTCGCAGTACGAAACTTTCCTGCGAATCAGCTATTGTTACTTTTTTTCGTAATTTACCGTTTCCACATTTAAACCTAGCAGGTGATGGTAAAACTGAATTCAACAGTATTGCGTATATATAATCTTGAGCATCTGCAACCGAAATATAAAATAAATATTACTTTTAATGTTTATGATAAATCAGGAATTAAAATTTACCTATGCTGCTTGCCGTCAAAACATTTGCGAAGAGTTGTTTGCAATGTTCGTTATGAATATTTTTCCCATAATAATTGTAAATTTTTTTCTTAAATTGGTCCCATTTAGAAAGTAGAAGATTGCCTTTCTGTGGATACATAATATCGAAATCAATGTTGACCTAAAACGAAACATTAGTATCCATATACAAATAAATAGCTCATGGCTACTTACCAATTCTGAAGCTCTTGCATCGGACAACTTCGTCCATTCAAGGAGAAATGTATGGCTACTTAAATTTTTTATATCTCTTTGCCGTATGTTAAAAGATCTTTTCCATTTTTCGCAGATCGATCCCCAATCATTACATTCTCTTAGTAAGGAAGCTTTCAATGAATTTTCAACTGATTCATCAATTTCGGGAACATCTTTGTTACAAAAATTAGGAGATGTGTGAGTTGCTGCTTTGCTTGTGCTAGGCTCGGAAATCAAAAGCTTTATTCTTTTGGACTTCTTGTTTCTATACTTGGCATAAAGTTTTCCGCTTGCGTTGTTCTTTCCTTTTCTTGAAATGTAATAATAATCCTAAAAATAAAGACATATTATAAGTTAAGAAACTACATAATCAGATACGTTGTTTATATTGTTAATCTTACCCTCATTTCGTTTTCAAGAGGAAAAACGGAACAAATTTCATCCAATATGCGCATATAGTCTTGAGTGTAAAGAGTAACATTGTTGGTTAAAATATCTTCAATAATTATATTAATTATATCATCTCTTTGCTCGTCACTTAATTTCTTATTAACGCTACTACATTCAAGCGCTAGTTTCCCCTTCGAGGTATGTGTTAACAATTCCGTTAGATCCTATATTAAATAAAAAAACTACATTAACTATGCTTACACAAATATTACTCTTACCTTACCTCTGACAAAATTCCTTTGGCTTTTGAGCAGTTCGAACCTGTAGTGTCGGGAGTACCAGGAGTACTTGCAGGTGTCTCGTTGCGTTTCCACCATTCACCTATTTTAGATGGAACTGACATAGTTTCGTCATCAATCCCGAGCTATTGTTATGACAATATTAATACTGAGTTCAACTCTGTAAAACAAATAATACGTACCTTTCGTTTTTTCCAAGCAAAGAGCTTTTCTCTGAATTCAACACGCAGTCCCAATGGTGGCACTGCTTCCTTTAAATCTTCTTTTTTCAAGTACTGCAAGCTGCGAAATGTTACATGTGATGCTAAAAGAACAAAAAAGAAAATTCTTTGTTAATTACACTGATTAACTGAAAAATTCATTTTTATTTACTTACCTTTTAATTGTTCAAAAAGCGACTCCATATTTATTCCTTTTAAGAACTCCCTTAACATATAATCGTCCTCATTGTTTTCCGCATCTTGACTGCTGCAATGGTTTGTATCGCGAACCACAACAATATTGCCATCGATTTCTAACAACTCACCAATGATATTTTGAGGATCTTGCGAATTATTATTCATTTTCAATAAATTTTTTGCACAATGCGTCCTTTCTCTTTCAATAACACGGAAAAAATGGTAAATATGCAGCCGATTGCACACGAGTAAAAAAAATGACAACGGTGGTGCATGATTCATACACGGTAGTTGCTAAAATGGCAACGATCGTGTACGATTCATGCACGTCGGTGTACAAAGTAACAACGGTGGTGCATCATTATGCAGGTGGTGGTGCATAATTCATACACGACCGGTGTCATATTGACAACGACCGTGTGTGAATCATGCACCACCGTTGTCATTTTTTACTCGTGTGTAATCGGCTGCAATTACCAATATTACAAATGGACAAATTAAGCACGGCTGTTGTTGGTACCGAAAGTTGACCACGTCTCGGTGTCAATTTGAGCACGTTCGTGCACAATTCACCAACAGCCGTTGTTGAAAAATATAACAACGGGTCGTTGCGAAAATGACAACATACGTGCTTGATTTCGCAACGGGATTTTTCCCTCAGTGTACGCGTTTGTTCGGCCACACCTGATCTATACACGTCCACTCAGTTTGGCAATCAGACTAACGAATGATGTGATTTATTCATGTAACTCTTATCCTCTAACAATGTGGTTATCGATTACATATTAAATATACGATTACTTGTTATCTTTCTAATGGTTATCGATATGTGTTTTACATATAATAGGTGTGTTCTAGAAATTTGGGGAAATTGATTTTCATAATTTGGTTCATCTAAAATTTCAAAGTAATTGTTTGAAGCTTTAGGGATACATTCTTTCCTTGAAAGGTTGGTGATTGCCATAGCCTCCAGAATATTTTTTTCATTGCTGTATCTTTTGCATTTTTTGACATCCATGGCATTGTGATCTTCCATGTTGCATAGTATACATCTGGGTAGAGTACAGTATGTTTTGCATTTAATTGTCGACAAACATGTATCACGTTTTGGCTCTGTGCAGTTTATGGGACATTCAATGTTTATCCCGCAAAGAAGGCATTTTTTTTTGGCTCTACATTTTCTAGAAATTTGGGGAAATTGATTTTCATAATTTGGTTCATCTAAAATTTCAAAGTAATTGTTTGAAGCTTTAGGGATACATTCTTTCCTTGAAAGGTTGGTGATTGCCATAGCCTCCAGAATATTTTTTTCATTGCTGTATCTTTTGCATTTTTTGACATCCATGGCATTGTGATCTTCCATGTTGCATAGTATACATCTGGGTAGAGTACAGTATGTTTTGCATTTAATTGTCGACAAACATGTATCACGTTTTGGCTCTGTGCAGTTTATGGGACATTCAATGTTTATCCCGCAAAGAAGGCATTTTTTTTTGGCTCTACATTTTACGGCTATATGACCTAAACGACCGCAATTTTTACATAAGCGTACAAGTGGAATATATAAATCCGTCTCCACTGAACATTTTAAGTTCTTTTACAACGTAGTCCGCTACAGTACCTACTTTAATGGTTTGCGACGGCACATACTGACCATTTTCATTTTTGTATTTGAAACGATGTACTGATACAGCTTTGAAATCATTGTCGCTGCTGTTGATTTGATCATATATCATTTTGCCAGTGAATTCTACTGGTACGGATTTAATAACATAAAATTTTTGTACAAATCTATCTGGGATAAAAGCATTCAAACCAATAGATTTTACATTTGGATCCAAAACAAAATTATTTGCCGAGTTATAATTGTTGAAGCTCAGGCGGAAGGTTTTATATGCAATATTCTTTGATACAAAATGAGCATTTATGTTGGCACTGGCTAATTTGGCATACAAATGTAATTCTGAGTTCTTTCTTCTAGGGCAAATGGGCACATCAGAAGTAAGAAGTACGTAATATGGACCTGGATGGGCTGGGCTGTAAAGAATTGTTTGGTTTTCATAGTTATCATAGCTGTAAATATCTGTTTTGTTTGTGTTTTTGGGTATATTGGATGGATTGGAGGGATTGTTATTGTTGGAGTGACAGTTGTTAGTTGTGTTGGTGGAGATGGACTTTGTATCATTAAAATATTGATTTTCATATGGTGTGAGAGTGGTGTTTTCTTTTGCTGGTGTTGTTTTTGCAGAGCACTGCGGCATTTTATTTTGCATAGAAGGCTGATTATTTTTAAACTTCTTGCTTCCAGGGTTGCTAAAAAGCTCAATTCTTTTCCTCGGGTCTAAACGAGGAGGCGGCTCCTCATCACCCATTTTCGCAGAAAATTGTATATTCTGTTGAAATTAGGAATATTAAATTTCAGCAAAATCACCAAATAAGATAATGTTTGTGTTATTGGTTAGATGGAAGGAATGTGTGTATTTGTGTGTGTATTAGTGTTCAAAGCAAAACAAACAAAACGCATAAAAAAGAAAGCGAAACGGCGCGCACGTAGTCTAAAGTCAACGAGAGTTGAGAGACGACTGACGACGTAGAAGTACAAAAAAAAAAAAAAAATAGGTGTGTTCATTGTGTTATCATGCTACAATTCGCAAATTAAGTTCGACTTAATAATTGTGCATGGTAGATTTCTTGTTCTCCTGCATATATTTTTTATATTTATTATTTGCGTTTCCTGCAATTGAAATCAAATTATTCCACTACTGGGATTCATTTTTCAAATTAACTTTAAATGCAAATATGTTAAATTTGCAAATTATGTTCAACTTAATCAATAATTGTGCATGGTAGATTTTTTATTCTTCTGCATATATTTTTCATATTTATTCTTTTACATTTCCTGCCATTGGAATCAAATTATTCCACTACTGAGATTTATTTTTCAAATTAACTTTAAATGCAAATATGTTAAATTTGCAAAATAAGTTCGAATTAATAATTGTGCATGGTACATTTTTTGTTCTCCTGCATATATTTTTATATTTATTCCTTTGCGTCTCCTGCCAATTGAAATCAAATTATTCCACTACTGAGATTTATTTTTCAAATTAACTTTAAATGCAAATATGTTAAATTTGCAAATTGAGTTCGACTTAATTGTGCATAGCGTATTTTTTGTTCTCCTGCATATATTTTTTACATTTATTTCTTTGCATTTCCTGCCATTTGAAATCAAATTATTCCGCTACTGAGATTTATTTTGCAAATTAACTTTAAATGTGTAGGACGGCGACCGAATGATTTTCAATAAACACTTTGACTTGTGGTTCTTATTATTTATTAATTTCTTTCTTATTAACACTTGAGCGAGTTAACTTCCGTACCACCGAGAATAAGAAAACAAGATTATTCTGTGTGGATGCCAAGTACAAACTGACTATTTATTCAAAAAATTCTTATATTTAATTGATTTTACAATTATTGATTTTTGTTGTAAATTTAAATTTGTTTCCACTAATGTCCACTAACACTTAACACCAGGTAGACAAATAAAACACTCGCGGACACTTTCGTTTTTTTCGGACTTTATTTCACACTTGTTAACTCTTAGGCAGACACTTTACAAACTGAGGTAACTTTCTTTCTCTTCTCCTGCTTATATATACAAAAGCTTTTCTAGATGGTTCTAAACTAGAATATTCTTAATCTAGACTATTCTGTAACGGACATATTATCTTAGTAATCTACACATACTAAATACTAGATAATCGATGTTATTAGTTAACCGATATTTACATGATCATATTTACATCATTACATGTAGGGGGAGCTGCACAAATATATGTGTTGCAAGGTTGTATTTAATTCAAAATAACTGACAATTTTTCATAGAGTTGACAAAGAACAAAGAAACATAAAATCTAGAGCTATCAAGAAAAATACTTAAGCTAAAAATATGTATTGTAAACAGTAAAAGTAAACATATCTTTTCGGGTCGTTTTTTACGGTTGTCGTCAATGTTATTAACTTTTTAGTTGTTATTCTTTAGTTGGTTTTAGATTGTTTGTTCTCCTGCATGTATTTTTTATATTTATGTCTTTGCGTTTCCTGCCATTGGAATCAAATTATTCCACTACTGAGATTTATTTTTCAAATTAACTTTAAATTTACAAATTAAGTTCGACTTGATCAATAATTGTGCATGGTAGATTTTTTGTTCTGCATATATTTTTTATATTTATTCCTTTGCGTTTCCTACCATTGGAATCAAATTATTCCACTACTGAGATTTATTTTTTAAATTAACTTTAAATGCAAATATGTTAAATTTGCAAATTAAGTTCGACTTAATCAATAATTGTGCATGGTAGATTTTTTGTTCTCCTGCATTTATTTTTTATATTTATTCCTTTGCGTCTCCTGCCATTTGAAATCAAATTATTCCACTACTGGGATTCATTTTTCAAATTAACTTTAAATGCAAATATGTTAAATTTGCAAATTATGTTCAACATGGTAGATTTTTTGTTCTTCTGCATATATTTTTCATATTTATTCCTTTGCGTTTCCTGCCATTGGAATCAAATTATTCCACTACTGAGATTTATTTTTCAAATTAACTTTAAATGCAAATATGTTAAATTTGCAAATTAAGTTCGAATTAATCAATAATTGTGCATGGTAGAATTTTTGTTCTCCTGCATATATTTTTTATATTTATTCCTTTACGTCTCCTGCCAATTGAAATTAAATTATTCCACTACTGAGATTTATTTTTCAAATTAACTTTAAATGCAAATATGTTAAATTTGCAAATTATGTTCAACATGGTAGATTTTTTGTTCTTCTGCAAATATTTTTTATATTTTTTCCTTTGCGTCTCCTGCCAATTGAAATCAAATTATTCCACTACTGAGATTTATTTTTCAAATTAACTTTAAATGCAAATATGTTAAATTTGCAAATTAAGTTCGACTTAATTGTGCATAGCGGATTTTTTGTTCTCCTTCACATAAAAAAGTTTCTGCCGCAGTGCAGTCTACTATATTGGTAACCCGCTCAAATCCTTTTATCCATTTTGTCTTCTTGCACTCATCTTCACCCGTAATCTTTGGAATTGCCCCCTCGATATCCGCAAAATTAGCCGAAGATTTTTTTTGGATTCTGAAGTTCAGCTATATCTTTTTGTAACTTTCACATTGCCAACTTTATTTCAAGCTGCTTTATAGTTTGTTGGGCTTTACATTCCTCGGTTTGCGTTTCTGACGGCTTGAGGTACCAGAGTGCTCCCTCCAACTAGGGCTTCAATTCTTTCCCTCACCATCTTTACTCGGAACTTTTGTTATATTTTCTTAAGTAATTTTCTTTCTTCTTGTCTCTTAAGTTATTTTTCCATAATTTTTAAATTTCTTTAAGAAATGCTAAAATGTTCATTTTATCCAAATGGCTACCTTCTTCCACTAAACGCGCGTTTCGTTCTCACCTGAGATGTTAACCCTTTACTGGCTATTCACAGAGTGACGCCATCTTTTTATTTCATCATTTCTTTTCTTTCTCATTTCATCACATCTCATTCTTAAAATATATTTGATAGTCGGTAATTGGATTTATTTAAAGAGTTGTATTTCCGACATTGATGTCAATTCAAACCATTCTAGTACATTTTAAATATTGATTTATTTATTCATAATAGAAATGTTGGAGCACTTGATATGTGTTACCTACATACATACTAGTATGTGTCTCTAGTGAGAGTGACCATCGCAACGTTAGGCTATTGCCTTCAATGTATAAATATTTTGATATATAAATATATATATATTTTTTTTTTTAAATAATACAAATACACACACACAAACCCTTTTATAAGTGCATTATAAATATACTTAAGAAAAATATCATAATATATAAATACATATTTTTTACAGAATGGAATTAATAAAAAATGAAATGAAAGAACTACAAGAAAATGTTAAATTAAACAGAGCCGCAAACACACAATAGTAGTTAATTTGTTCATTAAATTAAAAGAAAAAAACCAAAAAAAAAATTAAAAATATATATAAAAATCCTGCCATAAACCAAAAAAAAAAAGTCCATATAACATATTTCGAATGTGAAAAAGTATTTATTTTGAGTATACTCTATACATTGTAGAATAATTTAAAAAAAATGTTATTATTTTTATAAAATAGTCTTGAAATCTTTGTAAATTCATCTTCAAACAAAAAAAAAACACCATTTGTGGAGAACAAAAAACGATATTAAAAAAATATTTGAAGGTGAATATCAAAAAACAAAAAAAAAAAAAAAAATTGTAAATTCCATGGAAACTAGATATCCCTTTTTTTGTAAGTTCTAATTAAAAAAAAAATATTGTAATATGTGTAATGCTTGCTCAGCAAAAAAAAAACTTATTTGTAGCACCGCCATGTTGTTGTCAATCTCTTCTGTTGTAGAAGAAGCAGCATTACATATATATCCATTTTAAGGCAGTATATATTAAATGTATGTGTGCCTCCCTGCCTACCTTCTGTGAAGGTTCGAATTATTGTTAAAAATTAGAAAGAAAACAAAAAAAAAAAAATTGTAAAAAAGATGTGCACCATTCCATTATTGTGGCGGCAAGTAATTTATCATCCCCGTTTTAAAATTTCTTTTTGTTTCTGGCCAGAAATTTCGTAAGTAATTCTTACTCGGTTGCACATCTTTTATTTTAAAATTTAATAAGATTATATTCACCCTGGTCCCGGAAATGATTATTGTCAAAACTAAATTACTCTAATATTTCCATTTTTTTCCCCACCCCAAAAAAATGTTAAACTGATTTTGTATTTTTTTTAATGGCCCAAAATTATTTGTTTTCTTCCTTATTTTCCACTTTCAACATCATCTCCATTATTAATGTGTAACTTTTCTCCCTCAGTTTTAAAAACATTTGTAATAAATTAAATAAAATGGAAATGTATGTAAATCCCCCTCTCTCATATGTAAAACTTTTTCAAAAAAAAAAAAAAAACTTTAATGTGAACAAATAATAAAGCGCTACAACCCGGGGATAAATTCTGTTGGTTTTTTATTATATAAGGAAAAATATCTATTGGTTTTTAAAATCCAATATAAGATGGTAAGTAGAACAAAAAATTTATAATTATTTCCTGATTGTTGGTAGACTAACTAAAAACAAAAATAAACCCAATATCCCTTTGAACAAGATGCCTATGGTATTGAGACATGTTGATCCCATGTCTGTCTGCCTGTCTGCATATCGTAATATACACTGGTGGCCAAAACTAAAGCAACTGAAATAACAAGAAGAATGAATGCCCTGTAACTTTTTCAAAAATTAAGAAAAAGAGAAAGTTTTTCTTGTTTTAAATTAGGTACTTTATTCACTTTTTAAAATCCTAAAATATAAAACCAAAATTCATTTTTATATAAAAAATAATGTTTGGTAAAGTCAATTAACCCGATTTTGGCTTGGACAAAACAAAAGCAACTCTGTTGTACATTCATATAATCGCTGCAATTTCAGTTGTTTTTACGGTGATATTTATCGCTTTTTGCTTCCTTCGACAATTTCGCTTGTCATAAATCCTTTTTGAGAAGTTTTTTACAACAGTATGTGTTTTTCTTTTCGTTTTTTAAGTACTGCCCAAAAAAATTTTAAAAATGGCTAGAAGCAAATACATTACCTGAATAAAACAGCAAATTATCAGTGATTATCAAAACAACATATCACAGAAAATGATCTCCGAGAAACATTTCATAAATATTTATGTGATTTTATAATTATTTCTGTATACTAAGTCGGTTTTTTGAAACTGGATCAGTAGTAAGAGTCTATTACGGATGAAGGCCGTGAAAAACTTCAGCCCGTACTGATCCACAAATTGTGAGAGAAATAAAAAACAACTATTTAAGAGAGAGGGTGAGAGAGCAATCATTGGATATAAGCTCGTGATCAGTGTGTAGACGAGTAGTGGCAGCTGGTCTGCATGCCCGTAAGACATCAAAAAACCATTCATATCTGAAAAAATCAAAAAGGCTTTCGGAAACGATAATATTAAGTGGAATCAAGCTCAATGGAAAAAACATTATTTCAGGGATGAGTCTACGTTTAATATAAAAGGCTCATACGTTAAAAATTTTACGGTGAGAAGACCAAAAAATTAAGGACTCAAGCCGCAGTGTTGCAAAGGTACAGTGAAGCATGAGGGAGGGTCAAAAATGGCGTGGCGCTGTTTTTCTTTCTATGGACTTGGGCCTATCCATAAAATAAAGAAAGTTGTGGATCGGTTTGTTTACAAAGATGTGTTGGACATCACGTTGTTCCCTTACGCTGAGTAAAATATTCGGCTGATTTGGGTGTTTCAGCATGACAATGATCCAAAACTTGTATCAAAACTTGTGAAATATTGGTTGCGGGAGTCAAAAATTCATGTTTTGTTATGGCCGGCACAATCACCTGACCTAAACTCCTTAGAAAACCTTTGGAGTATCGTAGATAGGAAGATCAAGAGAGATTCGGAATTAAATAAGCACAACATTTTCTAAAGAATTCGGGGTGCCTGGGAAAGCACACCCAAGGATCAAATTGAGCGTGTTACAGATTCAATGCCTCGTAGGTGTGCAGCTGCTATCAAAAATAATGGTTATGCTGTCGACTACTAGCCAAAATTTAATTATTTTAATATAAAAAATTAAAAGTTGCTTTAGTTTTGACCAAGCAAAAATTGGGTGATTTTAGTTTTCCACATATTATTTTTCGTTCAAAATTATTTTTGTACTTTTATTTTTAGTTTCTTAAAAGTGAATTAAACCCCTCATTTAAAACTGGAATAATAATTACGATTTGTTTATTTTTGTAAAAGTTACAGCACATTTATTGTCTTTGCGATTTAAGTTGCTTTAGTTTTGGCCACCAGTGTATACAGGATGAGATGAAAAGACTGCAACAAACTTAAAAACTGTTGTCATTTCTAAGTCACTCGACCGACAGCTGTTATTCCAGTGAGAGCCCATTGTTTACAAAAGTACAAAAGCATTTTGGTGAGAATTTTCCAGAAAAAAAGTTATTCGTGATGGAATTCGTAATAGTGTGATTTTTTTATATTTGGCTGGGAAACCACAAGTGGCTCTCGTTAGAGGACTCCAATATTTAAATTTGAATAAATCGTGTGTGTCTCGTACCATCGCTCGTTACCGTAATACTGGCAGCAAGAACTTACACCTCAACCAGAAGAAAATAGACGCAAAAGAGCTTCGCTTGGCCGAAAGTGGTGAAATGCCGAATTTGGTATTCTCTAATGAGAAGACGTTCGTTGTCCAGCAGTTTGTAAACAAACAAAATGATCGTGTTTATTTTCCAAAGAGGTCAGCTAAAAATGTGCACCTTCAATTGGCCACCAGAACTCAAGCGCCGGCGATGGTGATGGTGTGAGCTGCCATAACTGCTGATGGTCGCCCTCCACTCGTATTAATCGACCGTGGCATCAGAATAAATGCCGAATATTATCGCGAAAATATTCTGGAGGGTGTATTAAAGGCTTGGGCAGGCAAACATTTTGGCCGTAGACCTTGGACATTCCAACACGACTCAGCGCCACCCAAGAATGGTTACAAAATGAGGTTCCTCTCTTCATTTCCATCACACAATGAGCACCGTTGAATTATTGAGTCTGGAGTATTTTGGGAAGCAAAATTGGCACTAAAAAATACAAACTATCGATTACCTCAAGTACGCGCTTCGCCGGGTGTTAGCCAAAATACCGCAGAGAACATTCGGGCAGCGTGTAAAGGCCATAATTCGTGCCAAAGGTGACCAATTCGAACAAATCTAAACTTATATTAAAATTTGGTACTATTTCTGACATTTTTTGCTTTCATTCAATAAAATTAAAAAAAAAATGTAAAAATTATGGCGTTTGACTTTTGTTGCAGTTTTTTTTATCTCACCCACACTCACACTAAAATACAGGGTTTCCAAATTGAATATTTTAACAAAAAAATTGAAAAGGACGGAACACTCCCTCTCTATTTAGGTTACTTTTAGATGCAAGTTTTCAAAACGATTTTGAAGATATCTCCCATTTTTAGCTCTTTTGTAAATGTAAAATTCTTCACAGATTTTGTACAAACTGAGTCCATTTTTCGTAAGACATTTATCAGACGGGTGAGGAATTCGACAACATGGCAGCCATTCTTTGCCGGTAACTCCTTAACAACGGATCTAAACAAATAGGTTATTGTAGTACAATTCGAAATACCCACCTGATTTGCCATTACTTCTAGGTCGAGACGGATTATGTGATTATGTTGGTCTAGTTTTTCAGGTACCTCCCACGAAAATATAAAAAAAAACGTTTAGCGAACTGTGGATGTTTCGTCATAAAATTGTCAATGTCAATATTTGAGGAGTTATGGCCATTTTACAAAAGTGATCACAAATTATAGCTAAAAACCCCGAAATGTCAATATTTAAGGAGTTATGGCCATTTTAAAGTATGCTATTTTGTTACTTTTGAAAACTGATCACAAATTATAGCTAAAAACCCCGAAATGTCACTATTTAAGGAGTTATGGCCATTTTAAAGTATGCTATTCTTCCCCTTTAAAAAAGTGATCACCAATTATAGCTAAAAACCCCGAAATGTCAATATTTAAGGAGTTATGGCCATTTTGAAGTAAGCTATTTCTCCCCTTTCAAAAAGTGATCACAAATTATAGTTAAAAACCCCGAAATGTCAATATTTAATGAGTTATGGCCATTTTGAAGTAAGCTATTTTTCCCCTTTCAAAAAGTGATCACAAATTATAGCTAAAAACCCCGAAATGTCAATATTTAAGGAGTTATGGCCATTTTAAAGTAAGCTATTTTTCCCCTTTCGAAAAGTGATCACAAATTATAGCTAAAAACCCCGAAATGTCAATATTTAAGGAGTTATGACCATTTTAAAGTATGCTATCTTTCCCCTTTAAAAAAGTGATCACAAATTATAACTAAAAACTCCGAAATGTCAATATTCAAAGAGTTATGGCCATTTTAAAGTATGCTATTTTTCCCCTTTAAAAAAGTGATCACAAATTATAACTAAAAACCCCGAAATGTCAATATTCAAGGAGTTATGGCCATTTTAAAGTATGCTATTTTTCCCCTTTAAAAAAGTGATCACAAATTATAGCTAAAAACCCCGAAATGTCAATATTTAAGGAGTTATGGCCATTTTAAAGTATGCTATCTTTCCCCTTTAAAAAAGTGATAACAAATTATAGCTAAAAACCCGGAAATGTCAATATTCAAGGAGTTATGGCCATTTTAAAGTATACTATTTTTCCCCTTTACCAAACAGATCACAAATTATAGCTAAAAACCCCGAAATGTCAATATTTAAAGAGTTATGGCCATTTTAAAGTATGTTATTTTTCCCCTTTAAAAAAGTGATAACAAATTATAGCTAAAAACCCCGAAATGTCAATATTTAAGGAGTTATGGCCATTTTAAAGTATGCTATCTTTCCCCTTTAAAAAAGTGATAACAAATTATAGCTAAAAACCCGGAAATGTCAATATTCAAGGAGTTATGGCCATTTTAAAGTATGCTATTTTTCCCCTTTAAAAAAGTGATCACAAATTATAGCTAAAAACCCCGAAATGTCAATATTTAAGGAGTTATGGCCATTTTAAAGTATGCTATTTTTTGCCCCATTAAAAAAGTGATCACAAATTATAACTAAAAACCCCGAAATGTCAATATTTAAGGAGTTATGGCCATTTTAAAGTATGCTATCTTTCCCCTTTAAAAAAGTGATAACAAATTATAGCTAAAAACCCCGAAATGTCAATATTCAAGAAGTTATGGCCATTTTAAAGTATGCTATTTTTCCCCTTTAAAAAAGTGATCACAAATTATAGCTAAAAACCCGGAAATGTCAATATTCAAGGAGTTATGGCCATTTTAAAGTATGCTATCTT